CTTTTTATTCTAATTCTACATGAAAAACTCCATCTAGAAAAAATAGTTTCGATGCCATTCAAATATTATATGACCATTAAAAATTTAGATTTTTCGCCGATAGCGGAATACCTCATCGGTGGCCACCGGAGGAATCAACCCTTTCTTTTAAAATAAAGATGAAGCCAATATTTTTGCATGGTTACATTCGTCATAACGGCATGAAAAAACTTACGAATGGGTTTTGCAAAATATTGTTTCGTTGTTGAGAAAATTAATTTTTTTGAAACAGGTAGCAAAAACCAAGGAAATGCACTCGTATTTTGCAGTTTTCGCCGTCAAACTTTCATTTTCTTTGCAAAACCAATTCCATATTTGGCATCAACATCGAAAACTGAAGTGACTAATGTGCCTTTCAAGTTTTTTGGACAACTTTCATTTTTTATCCAAAATCTCAGCCGAATAGTTCGAAAAAAATGGAAGTTGTCCAAAAAACTATTTTCGAAACTATTTTTTCTAGATGGAGTTTTTCATGTAGAATTAGAATAAAAAGCTTTCAAAGCTCCAAAACTCGCTGGGTTTGAGATTTACGTTCAGTTTTTAAAATGTAGACCGTTTTTTAAAATCTTAAATTTTAATTTTTTTAAAATTTTCAACCCTCACAAATTTGTTGGAAGGCTAAAACACACATATTCTGATTCAGCTCGATCAGCTCTATCGATCCATGTAAAAATATTGAAAACTACAATGCGCTTAAGTTTTGAATTTTCGACTTCTTTTTGTTCTATCGCTCTTCAATGTTTTTGTACTTCTTTGATAATGATGTGTACATTTGCAAACCGGCAGTTTTCTGCACAGCAATGGTTTCTTTACAAATGGTATCAATAACAATATCCAGTCTCTTGTGAATCTTTTTTTTAATTCGATATTCTTCACAAACCACATCCTCTTTTCACTTGACCCTGTTGTTCTTTGAATGTGGTCAATTTTATTATTTTCATCTAATTCGGTTCCATCTCTATACCTTTGTAAATCACCTAAAAAATCGGAACTTGCATAACTGTTGATAAAATATTTATTTCCGGGTATCGAAAGAGTCCTTAATCAACTTCCCGCTGTCGAACAAAGTACCTTCAACTTTTAATTTTCTAATATGCACTTAGCTAACATATTCATGATTTACAGTGAGCTCTATTTATTGCTTGCCTTTCTTTTCTCACATCTTACCTAGAAGAATGTTGCTCCACATGTAGACTGTTCCCATATATAATTTGTTAAATTGAACAATAAACTTTTCATATGGAGATAACTGAGACTCATTATCGGCTGACTTTTTCTTTAGTTTAGTTGATTTAGTAGTGACTAGTTCATATTTATCAGCACTTCGACACACATTCTCGAATATTTTTACCATATCACTTTTTATAGAAGACTCAATTGAATTTAGAATATTTTCTTCATTACTGATCCAAGTAGAAAATTGTGTTGATTGTTTTTTTGTTTTGAAAATATCCGGTACATTGGTATCAAGTTGTGATACATCATATTCATCAGCAGGTGTCATGTCGAAAAATGTATCATCCATCACAATATCGGTTGTCTCTTCCATATTGGATTTACTTAATGACTTGACAGCTGTTGTTAATGCATCCGTAGTTGTCCACCATTGAGTTGATTCATTTGATAAAAGAAAATAACCACAAAATAAAAAATAATTTTGTTTTAATTGTTGATAAGTGAATGAATTGAGTAACACAGATGAATAAAACATAATCCGTTTAATTTGCATTTCATTAATTTTACATAATCTTGCCATAATTCGAAAGTCCTTCATAATATGACTGCAACAGGCATGCGGAATTGTTAATGTAATATCTTCACTGGTAAATTGGCCTAGGAAAAAAATGTCATTGAAACGAAAATGTTATTGAAAAAGTGTCATTGATTTTCAAAAATTTATTTAAGAAGGTATTTGTTCCGGTTTCTATCAGCTATTATTGCAGCAATATAGTTAAGCATGAAGTATATCTCATAACAGAAAAAATGTTTTTGGTACCTGTGTCTTAAATGCAAGGGGGAAACGGCCGATTTTGGGATTGTTCCGATTTTTGTTGATTTTGATCGATTTTCACCCAATGAAAAGTCACCGGAAATGACTGGAAGTCATTGAAAATCACTGAAAATCAATTGATTTTGGGTGATTTTTGACTGATTTCAGTCAGTTGTTTCCCCTTACTTGAATGTGATATATATATGACAAATTTTTTGTGAAGTATAGTCTATAATATACTTTTTTCCGCTTATATTTTCTTTAGCTTAGCCATTAGCCTAATTCTTTTCAATCTTTCTATTTCTGTTTTGTATAAAATTTTATTCTGCATACCCATGAGAATTCTATATGCACGATTATTAGAATCCTGGATTGACTCTTGATTGAAAAACCGCAGACCCGTCTGAATAAACACTTGCGCTCTATCATTAATCAAATATCTTAGAGAAGGGAACCGATTGCTGCCAAATTTTTTGCTGTATAGCAGTCGAATTTGAGACATCCAATTGTGGATGGTATCAGCATCATGCGCTTCCGAAATCATGAAGCTGATTGGAATTGCTGTGGCACGTTTAATCGGATTAGCGATTGTGATTTCGTAATAAAGAACTCTTTTATGTATATCATCCGCTTGTATTATATGACCAGTGGCATCCCAAGTAACTTCACTCGTGGAATCAATTCTATTCCAAACACTGAGTGCTGCTGAGTTGACACAAATAACAAAAAATGGGATAAAGCCAATTTTCTAAGAAAAAAGGAATTTTTTCGTCTGTTTCGAAACACTTTATTTCTCTTACTTGTATTATTCCTGGAGCAGCATCATCATATGGTAGCGCTTTTATGTATTTTTTCCTCAGATCGCTCAGTCGTTCAAATAAAAGACACCGTGCTTCTTTATGATTGTATGATGCTATTTTGTGATAGAGATTTGGATTTTCCCCTACATCATCCAAATTACGAGCGCTCAGAACATCTTGTGGTGTGGCTAACAACTTCTTATTAAACATTCCAGTTGCGCTGGCACTCATAGCTAATTCATCATGTAATACTTGACGCTCATCCCGA